GGGGGGTCGCGGTAACAGAAGCACAGAGACTGACAGTCAGGCAGCCGTCCAATTGCAGGCTTTCAGCCAACGCCGCACCATGGACAGGGACAAGGAGAGCAGGGACACAGCAACGCAGTAAACAACTAAAACGTGACTTAATGCTATTTTGATCTGGCAGCCCATATTCCAAAGGGCATGATGTGCGTTTCAGAGGCACAGAGAGAGAGTGAGAGAAAGACCTCCTTGAGAGGGGAGCATTTATTTTAACTTCCTGGTTCGGATCTTCTTTAATTTTCAAAATCTTCACAGTGTATAAAAATTTTAACATGCCGAACATGTTTTTTCTGTTTACAAAAAAGAAGCACTAATTGTCATTTTTGTTTCAGTGTCGCCAACTGCTGGGTGGCCATGCACCATTGCGACCCTGCCGCTACCTTAAGCGTCACGCTGTGTGTCCTTGTCACATCCTTCCCGGGTGCGTATCCAGAGCTGATAAGTGCTCAGCCTACAGCGATTCCTGCTGCCGCTTTATATAAATACCAGAGATACACTTTACCCAAGAACGATGTAACTTCCTTTTAAATAACGAAAGCGGTTTTCATGATGTCTCAGAGAATCACAAGTTTATTCGTACAGCACACTTTCTTACACAATGGTTACTCAAAGTACTTTATGGAAAAGAGCTAAGAAATAATGCACAAAGTAAAAGTAAGCATAAGTAAAAGAATAAAAGAGAATTGCGCATGAAAATTTAAAATTAAAGGAACACAGTATAAAATGATATAAAACATTTAAAAACAAGATATTACAAGTGGCAAGGTGCCCGTCACATAATCAAGGTAAATGGCATCAATTATGTAAAAGTAGTAAAGAAAAAAACTGCTTTCATGAGACACAAATCCAGGTTAATTTCATATATTAATTAGCAGACAAATGTTGTAGACAGAAGAATGCGCTTGAAGGTTTGATGTGAATTTGGGTGGAGCTCATTTGGTAAGAGTGTGTCCATGAGGATTACCCAGAATCCCGCTGGGCGTGGACCCGCTCTGACAGGCTTGAGTGACAGGCTGAGAGGTCCTGCCAGGGGTTTGGCTTCGGCGCTCGCAGGCGTGCCTTCAGAGCCGAGCTGGCACCATCTGCCTTGGGGCCCGCCGCTTTTTTGGCACCGCCTCGCTGGTGCCCCCCCCCACGGGGTCAAGGGCCCAGCACACAGCCCGCAAGCAGATGTCCCGCAAAACTCCATCCGGATCGTTAATTAAACGGCCAATGGAGCCGCGTTTAGGGGCCGGGGACCGCACCGGGTCCGGGGCTCGTGCAGGCCAGCCACCCTGCTGGAGGGTTTAAATCGATGGTTAGGGGGCACGACCACTTGTGGTGGGGAGGGGGGTTTCTCAGTAATGAGAGGGACAAGGCCACAATAGTATACATGATTAACAGTGTCTGTGACTTTGTGTGTTTGTGCATGTCCGGCCCACTCAAGCGACCCCCTACTCCCCCCCTTGCCCCCGGCCCCCATCCTCCTGTCCATCCACCCCCTCAACACCCCGCCCCCCATCCAAGTCCCCTGCAATTCATACCCAGCATCTGCTGCCGCATGCAGTTATCATCCCTGGTGTCCATGCTGGGGAGGGCCTGTGTGCAATAAGTGGCAGAGCTAACATGTAACTGACAGGCGACAGAAAGAAGACACCCCCCCCCCCCCCCCCAATGGGCGAGGCTATGTGTGCACAACGAGGGGGGGGTCTGCACAGCCTTTCATCCCGGGGCGGCTGCTGGGTATCCCTGTTAACTTGTTAGCACGTGCGTAAAGTGATCAAAGCACTCCAGCTCAGACTCCGAGCTCACGCCTGGGTTAAGTGAACCGGAGGCGTCACAGGACTGGAGTCTGCCCTCGAGTCACGGCCCGTACGGCGGGAACGCGGGAGAAGGTTCCGGGAAAGCCGACACGCCTCAGATTCAGCAGAATGTAGGAGAGAAAAAAAATCTGCCATGCCAGTCTAATAATATTCAGCATCCCCAAAACGCTCCCATAATATCACCAAGCAGTTTTAATTAAGAATATTTTACACCATGTTTAAAAACCGCTCATTCCTCAAAACATTTCCGACACACAGGCTTGCATCTTAAACATTGCCTTGTAGGAAATCACAGTTAAACTTTCAAGAAATGTCCACTTAGTCCCAATGCATAGAGATTTTTTATCATCCAAAACATTTTCTTTATCATGCACGAACTTTTAAACATCTGTTGTGCTCTTTTTGATTCCTGCATGCAACAGGGAAATGCCCCATGCTAAAAAAAAAATAAGATGATGGGATAAGATAAGATAAGATAAGATAAGATAAGATAAGATAAGATAAGATAAGATAAGATAAGATAAGATAAGATAAGATAAATGTTATGAAGATTTCAGGCACATGCAGAGGAGCAGCTACCTCAGTGGGGTAGGAGACACCCAGGTGACACCTGACTGTGACAGATAGATGGCCATTTCCCGAGGGTGGCACTGGACCGTGTCGCCCCAAGAGGTTGCCAACTGCGATCCCGAGGTATTTCGTCACCTGATGGGTTCCACAGCTATACCAGTGCAAGTCCCCCAACCTGACCTGACCTGGCAAATAAAACCACACAAATAGCAAATCAGCGGGTGCTAACAAAAATGCAAGAGTCTCAAGGCCTGGGTTTTAATCTTAGGCTAAGAAACTAAACTCAGCTGACCTGTGAGAGGAGCTGAATGTCTTACATTAGTTACATCAGCCTAATGTCCATTTCACCACATTTATTCTGACTCGCTCTCAATAACCTACAGTTGAATGTTAGTCAGTCAGAAAACCAAGATTCTCCACCCACCAGCAAGTTAATGTTACTTTTTAGCAGTCAAGTATTTTGCCTGTTACATTTACTGCTGAATATGAAACTTCTTTAAATATCAACATGAAATAAATGTATATCAGTTCAGCTTTTTATTTATTCATTTTTACAATGCATTCAATATTTACGTACTGTATTTGTTTATTTTCATATACTTGTCTTCCCATCTGACAGGCCAGGTACATGGGGGGGCTTGAGGTCATCTTGTGGCTGGCTGTGTGCTTCGTTGTGGTGAATGAAGACACACCGACCGCTCTGCCGATTTAAACAAACAAATACGAAAGAGAAGAAAACATGAATTTTATGTGGATAGTAGCGATCAACCTTAGCTTACATTTACCGATCACATGATCCAATGAACAAAGCGGTTAGAGAGGAAAGGAAAGATTCCTGTACGATATAGCTGTGTGAGAGAGTACCTTACATTCAACTAAGCAAATGCTTTTATTCAAAGTGGCGCATATTTTCAAGAAATCAGGGCCAGACAGCCCCCGGAGCAGTTGGGGTTAAAGGACTGGCTCAAGGGTCCGATGGTGAAACTGATCTACTGGCCGCAGAGTTTAAACCATCGACCTTTCGATCGCTGACACCATTTATAACCCGCAAAGCTACACACTGCCCCTATAGTTTACTGCTATAATAAGAGGGTATGATCATTTATAGAGTAGAAGTAAACAGCACAAAACATAACTAATTAATACCAGCATTTCGGACTCGTAAATTATCTGGATATGACAACAGGCACGGTTTAAAAATCAATATCAATCATTTCATTTAGTTTAGTTACAGTAATAGGCCTAGTGCTTTATAAAAAAAATATATATTTAAAAAACACTAGCAGAAAAGCAAAGCTAATTAATACAAAATTTGATCCCCCGAGGTGGCATGGAAATATATCTCAGCTGTATCAAGGCCAACCGCAAAGTCGACGGAGAAGATAGTAAGATGTTCACCGACTCGGCGATTGCCACCCCCTACGGCGCCCAGTCTGCGGTTTCTGCAATGACACATACACTGATAAGACAGCCCCAGAGCTCCACGCTTCATTATTCCCATGCAAAGGTTACAGTAATCGTGTCATTGGCGAGCTCGCCGCGCAGTAGTTAAGACAGGGAGTCGGGAGAGAGGGGGAGCACCGGCGCACCTGTTACCACCCGGACACCGGGGAATTCTCACGGCTCGGCTCGCTTTGTTTCTCCGTGTGAGCTCTGCGGGAGAAGAGGTGAACTCTGGATATAATACAGCCAGCGAACACTGGTGCGATCGCCGTGTTTTTATTATAATCAATCATAAAACTAGTGAAAATTCATATACATGGCTCCGAGACGCCATCTTCAGGCAGGGAGAAGTGTAACAGCGCACGCTCGATTAACAATATAAAAAGCAAATGCACTTTTTTGATTCTGGAAGTTTCGGATTTGTTACTTATTTATATAGTATAGTAATATAATATGAGTAGTGAACTTAGCGAGAACGGCCTTAGAAGTGAAACTAATCATGAAAAGAAAACCATAGCGCTACAAGGATACAGCATTGTTTTGTTTTGTGCTAAAATGACTATGGTGTGTTGTAATCAATTGTATTTCCAGCCCAACAAGTAACCTGAAGCAGAATCCTTGCAGGATCCAGTCAGTTGGGAAGTCATACTGTACATTCATTCCAGTCACCCATATAAAAAAACAGACTGATTTTTATACAGACATGGAGCTGATTGAGGTTGAAAGCAAGTGTGTGGGTGAGAGAGAGAAAAAATTGTTTGGAGGGGAAAGAGTTTGTGGTTATTGCACTGTGCCTGAAATAGATGTAACAGTGATAGGAGGTTGTGATGTTTTACATTATGCAAACCGCAGCCTAATAGAAAATAAACTACCTGCTCTGAACTCGAGTTTGGTCTTCACACTCCTGCAAACTTCACCTAAAAAGTTCTTATCTCCTTTCCTGAATAGTAAGAGCACACTATCATTCTTCTCCAGGCGCCTGGTGAGACAAAGCTGGCCCATTTTATCAGAAGCTCCAAGGTTCTCAGTTAGCTTTCCCACCCGTCTTGTTATGCGTCACTTACTGCAGGGAATAGGGGTGGGGGTCTGAGGTGTGAAACGGATGTCTTAGCTTTAACTGGAACAGTCCGGCTGTTCATGGCCAACTTAACTCAAGAAGGACAACAAGTCCAGAATGACAAGCAGAGGGAAAACACCACAATGCACGAACAAGGAACAGAACAGAAGCTGGCTCATAAATACAGCTGGACAGTGAAATACAGTGAAAATCATAACTCAATTAACCAATCAAGAGGACTCGGGTCGACAAAGAACAGGTGGGGTGGATTACAGTTAGACAGCACTAGAAACTAGGGAGTGTTAGCAAATACAGAGGACTAACAGCACTGAGAAAAAACGAGGAACATATATAAGCTGGACATAGTTAAACAAGCAGGGAAAACCAAAAACAGGAACAGAAAGCGAAGATATAGAAAACCATACCAAACACTAAAGAAAAATAAAACCAAATATGAATTAACCAAAAAGGTTAGACTGGCCTCAAACACATGACCAAAGGGACTCAGCCTGAGAGTTGCACACTCAACGTCTTATGTAGCAGTTCAGCAAGTAGGGAAGCACACTAGGAACTTAGGGTTACAAGACATTAACAGAAAAGGGCCTTCCCCAAACTGTTGCCACAAAATCGGGTGCATTAAGAGTTCCCTTCACTGGAACTACGTTTCCTAGCCCAACCCCTGAAAACAACCCCATAGCTTTATTCCTCCTCCACCAAGCTTTACAGTTGGCACAAAGCAGTCAGGCAGGTAACGTTCTCCTGCCATTCACCAAACCCAGACTCGTTCCTCAGACTGTCAGGCAGAGAAGCATGATTCGTTACTCTACAGAACGTTTTCACTGCTCCAGCGTCCAGTGGCGGCGTACTTTACACCACTCCATCTGACGCTAGGCATTGCGCTTGGTGATACGAGGCTTGCATGCAGCTGCTCAGCCATGGAAGCTCATTCCATGAAGCTCCTGGCAGAGTTTTTGTGCTGTAGTTAATGCCAGAGAAAGTTTACACCTCTGCAGGTATTGGTCACTTTTATGGACTATGCACCTCAGCACTCGGCAACCCCACTCTGTAAATTTACACGGCCCGCCACTTCGTGGCTGAGTTTCTGTTGTTCCTAATTGCTTTCGTTTTGCAATAATACCACTTACAGTTCACCGTGCAATATTCAGGAGGGAAGAAATTTCACAAACTGACTCATAGCAAAGGTGGCATCCTATGACAGTACCATGCTAGTACCTGATCTATACTTTCATGTTGTTTATCATCTGAATGTCACAACAGAAATCAAAACTCATCTGATCAGGCAACGTTTTTCCAATCTTCCATTGTCTAATTTTGGTGAGCCCTTCCCTGTTGTAGGCTCAGTTTCTTGTTCTTAGTTGATAGGAATGGCACCCGGTGTGGTCTTTTGCTGCTGTAGCCCATGTGCATCGAGGTGTTCTGCATACCTTGGCTGTAACGAGTGGTTATTTGAGTTATTGTCGTCTTTCTATCAGCTTTAACCAGCCTGGCCATTCTTCTCTGACCTCTGCCATCAACAAGTCATCTTCATCCAGCGAACCGTCGCTCACTGGATGTTTTTCCTTATTCACCCCATTCTCTGTAAACCCTAGAGATGGTTGGGCGTCAAAATCCCAGTAGATCAGCAGTTGGTGAAATACTCATACCAGCCCGTCTGGCACTAATAACCCTGCCACTCTCAAAGTCACTTAAATCACCTTTCTCTCCCATTCTGATGTTTGATGTGAACATTACCTGAAACCCCATGGCCTATATCTGCACAATTTTATACATTTTGCTGCTGATATAGATTAGATATTTGCTTCATCGAGCAGTTGAACAGGTGTACCTAATAAAGTGGCCAGTGAGTGTACATCCATACATACAGTACATCTCCCATAATCATTTGATTGTGGTGATGGATTTACTAATGTTTGTAAATCTGCCAACCATTGTTCACCAAAGACCAATCAAATTTGTTCTCATCTGTAACTTTGTTGTTCTCCTGCAGGTTATTTTTTAGAGCTTAACCATTGGATTTTATCTTTATCTTTATCTTTATTTTATCTTTGGTTTTTGTCCTTATAGTTACCCGTTCAAATCTTTGTAACTCTGGACCACATTTCTTGTTTTTTGCACTTTGTTCTGGTTATTTCTATCTTCCTGTGAAACCCAGCACTGATCTACTTTTAGATAAGTATATCTTCACCCACTTCCGGTTGAGTGATCTGTATAAAAGAGACCCCTGTACTCTGTCTGTCTGTCTCATGATGCTCCTACAGCTGTCCCTGTTGTGTCTCCTTCTCCAGGAGCGTCTCCCTCCTACAGGTAGGGTCACCACTTTGCCTTTCCATTATATGCTGCATGTAGCTGGACATTTTATCTGAGAGCGAGTCCAGAAGTAAAAAGGAAAATCATATCATCACACTGGTTGAAACTGGTTCACACTGCTGTGCTACCCAGTACCTGGATTCTGCTGTTTATGTTACGTAGGAGCGTCTGAGAGCGGCATCCTGGGAGGGAAGACAGCCAAACCTCACTCCCGGCCCTACATGGCCTCACTGCAGGTCCGTGGCGCTCACACATGTGGGGGCTTCCTCATTCGGGAGGACTTCATCCTGACTGCAGCACACTGTATATATGGGTGAGTTCATCTGTTTTTCTTTTCTCATTTTCATTTGTTTAAT